TAGCAACGAGTCGGCCGTATCACTCAACGAGTAATCTGTTAGCTCGTGCAGTATTTCCACTTGTTTGCTTTCCTAAAAATGACATTTTCAGGAAACGATGAAGCTAAATTCCGTCTTTTCAGCGATCTTTTGAAGATGACTGCTAAGGCAATCTATGTTACGAATAGCAAACACTGAAGCAAACACTTAACGATAAAGTAGAAACTAAGCTGTATTAGAGTAATTCAACTACTAATATTAAAAGTCTCCTTGGCACTAACTCTGTTGCTGCACGAAAATGTCCCAACGCTTCAAATGTAAATTCTCGCAAGCGACATGTTTGAAGCGTCATGGCCGTTGAGTTTATGAAGAAATAAGTTTAATAAAAGGAGTTACCTGGGACTTCTGCGGATAACTGAGAACATCCGAGTCAAATAAAACAATCAATATGCGATTGATAGTGTCCGGATCAGCGATAAGATCCAGGAGAGGGAGGAAAATGCAAAAAACAAGAAGTTCGCGAAGCAAATGCCGGCATATGTGACTTGGCCAAGGACGCTGCAAAAAGTTTGCGTAGTAAAAGAGATGGCCATTGAAAGCACTCAAATTAAAGTGCTAGTTAAATAACAACAGTGCCTTTGGAAGGAAAAAAATAGGAAAGGTACTGGCATCAAAAATCAAAAGATCCTACACATTCATTTGGAATGAGAGTCGGAAAATAACATTTGGCATGTGAGCAATCAATGACAAGGCAAGGCTTTCGATGGCTATGTTGAGGAAAAGCGCCTCGAATGGAAATAGCAAACAAAGCAAACGGAAAAGATACGTAAATTACATGATTTTGTGTTTCGCAGTACCGTAACTTCCTTTGTATAACGGTGCCGCCGTCAAACAGCGGCACCAACATCAATCATGTATGTAGCTCTCTTTGTAAACTGAACCTAGCTGGAGCGAGGCGGAGCTCCAGATGGGCTCGGTAGCCGATTTTTCCGGCAAATTTTTAGTGTTAACATTTGTTTCAACACCGAACCGCCGTCTACCGATCAGCACGCCGTCTACCAACATCAGCACACTGACCAGACTCCGTCTACCAAAATCAGCACGCCGTCCGCCTCAGACCTTACCTTCTACCATTTTTTGGTTTTTACTGTTATTTGCTATCGCATAAATATACCTATGTTACCTCTAGTTGAAAAAAACAATTGAGGTTAAGCATAATAACGGTAGGAAACTCCAGGAAAGTCAAGGTCGGAAAGAAGAAACTTGTGTTTTCACCACAGGCTACCTCTCACGAGTGTAACTTACAAGTAAACTGACAGTACTCTGACTGTTTGGCATGCATGCTAGTGCAAATGAACAAATCGTTCGACTCACTGGCAAAGTCGAACCCTCGAAACCAACACAGAACTGTGCACATGCCCACAGCTCAACTGGCCATATAGCCAATCAAAGACGATGGACAGGATAGAAAATATGACAAATTACCGAATGATTAGCGATGGCGGCAGCAGCAGGGGCCTGATGAAACGGGGAATCGTCGTCAGTTGCACGACCCGCTATACGACTTTCATCAACCAACTGTGCAACAGCAAGGTCGGCCAGTTGCCGCAGATAATCGATCTCGTTCTGCCGTGAGCCCAAGGCAAAATGAACATCTTGCATGCCTTCCAAAATTTTTGTTTCCACCATCTGAGGCGGATAAACCTGAAAAGTGGAACAGGTTGCTGCCATGGAGATAAAATGTACAGGAAAAAGTAGAGAAAAAAATACGCTGGCAAACAGAAGTCTTTTATGAATGATGATATTTAATTTAAATTTTGATTATCCTCCAAACGCATCACAGTCTGGTCAAAAAAAAGCATTTAAAAAAAAAAAAAGCAAAAATAATCATAGTACCAAGACACAAGCAACAAAAGCTGTAAGAATCTTCCTCGGCTATTTTTAATAAATGATGAGAAGGGGGCTAAACTGATGTTTCCCTTTCCCTATCCATAACAAATTGTTGTCTGTGTTTACAGCTGAGGGATGAAGCGTAGGCAGAATGGTCTTGCTCAAATTTCTTCAAAACATGTGATTCGTAGATGTTAACCGGAACTTTTCACATTTTCTTAACTCCACAACCATCTCCTTCCTCTCCATTCCCCTTTCCTTCATTTTCTTACAGATGTTTTCCTCCATTCATATTCCTCATTTTTATTTTCATATTCCTCATTTTCATCCATATTCCCCATTTCCCTCCATTCATATTCCTCCATCCGTACAGATGTTTTCCTCCACCCATACAGATGTTTTTCTCCATTCCTCCACTGCGATCGATAAGACTAAAGTCAGCAGTGCTAAATTATCAATCACACGACAATAAGTCGATGTACTAAGGTAAATGTTTCGATGCAATTGTCGATATAAAGATTGTATTTCGTAGTTGTGCAAAGCAAACACATCGCCCTCATCAAAACAGGAAATCAATAAACTTTTCCGGCAATTCACGATCGGAAAAAGGATTTGAACAGAGTTTTTCAAGAAAAAAAACTTCATTCAACTCATAGCGCGACCTAATTTAGTTTAAGATTTCTTACGAATCAGGTATCCAACATCAGTCCAGTGCTCCTCCTCCTTTCTAGCCCACCTAATTCGTCAACGAGCAAAGAAAAAGCAAATCATGTTTAACGTCAGAGCGAAGTCTTTTTTAAGAGAAAACTCGGAGGCCTGCACTTGGGAACCACGCCATTTCTGACAGAGAGACAACTTTTTATTTGAATTACAACCAAGACAAACGTACTTTTTTGTCAACAGAATCGTAAAGGCGCGATACTCTTTCCCAATGAATTGCCGCCAAAGGTACTGCCTGGGAAAGAACCAACGACGATAAGTCGATCTTCTGGATCCGCTGATAGAACATCGCAATCGCAAATCGTATCTGGTACCTTAAGTGTGCCTTATTCAGTCGTTTCTTCCTCGGAAACAAAATTATTTTTTTTTGTTTGAATTTTACTGAGATTTTTTTTCAGAAATCAGTCCGACCTGACTTCATTGACGAATGCATCATCATCACTTATCTTCGACTTGTACCAGCTATTCACATAGTTATCGATAAGCTGTTCAATTAGCTCCACAAGCGATTTATTCACCGATTCTGGCAAATACAAACCTGAAGCTAAATTATTTTTCAACAGTGCCGTTTTTTGAAGAATAACACATACTAAAGATTCCAGTAAAGTCCAGTTACTTCGATACGTACGAGTCGTTCGCACGATGACTACAGCAAAATGTGCAGACATTAATATGGGACTTCGTAACATTCCAGGATTTTTGAAACATATGGACATCGTTCAATGCTATCCTGCTCGATCAGTTGCACTTAGGGCAGTGCTTAGTACTATTTTCCCCCTTCGAAAACAGAAAAATCGTAATTTTGCAGTTACTCAATTGTACCATAAAAAAAGGATCACAAACTGATCTAATGGTGGATTAGCGCTAAGCAGGTAATCTTTTGCACAAACACACATAAATATAAATATGCACGGATGTACATAAATATGCAGTGAAGGTACACATACCTACACAGATGTACGCGCATACACACCTACACACCCACATCCACACACCCACACACACGCGCACATACAGACTCACATACAAACACATTCACACATACACGTACACACGCAACACGTATTAAAATATAACTCGGTAGCAAAAGGAAGAAAACTTGGATTCCACACAAGTATTAAAGAAAAGAGAGATCTCATGACGTAATTCACGTGATCGCATAAAACGCCGAAAATATGTTTCATTCAGCTTACCCCACTAAATAAAGTTAAATTTTTCCAAAAAAAAGAAAAATCAACGGACCTTTCCATGGCAAGTTACGAACTTTAGACGGTGTTTCCCCTTTTGCATTACTCCCAGCAGCGGCGCCATCCTCCAGAGAGAGCTTCTCACCAAGTAGTGACTCGAAAAAATTCCATAAAAATTCGCCTTGTGAGTGATTCAGCAAGTAAGTTGTTAGATAATATCCGCTTGCTACAGTCACACACTGCGCAACGATCCATAAAAAACTGAAAAACGAAATTTACTTTTAAATCAACGATGAAAATCACCGCCATTTTTAACTAAAAATACCTCAAAGCTAAACGCAGACATTTGTCGCATGCTGGATTCTGCGCCAGATCAATGATGCATGGTCATACTGGGGATCTGTCCCTTACGATTCAGAGAAAAAGCAAATGTACTGATAAACTGCTAATTGCAATATTCTTAAATAATTCTGATGAAAAAAACCACTAAAATCTTTTTGTTGGATGACTGCCGCCATTAAAAACCTTATATTTTTTACGGTTTACGGACAAGTACCGTTGCTGTGCTATCAGAGAGTGAAATACAAGTCTGCACACTAAAGTGCTTTAAGTGTCTTTGCTTTGACAGTGAATTAACTGAAGTACTTTATCGTAGAAGCTGCGTAGTGAGAAGCAAAAAACGATGGCGAATTAGCCAGTCAACTGCATAAGCCCAATTTAGTGCTGCCAAAACAAGAAATTCAAAATCCAGGTAAAGTGTGCTCAGATGTTCATGGTGCCAAGCTATATAAAATGTATGCTGTGAGAGGCCCGTTACTTGGACAAATTGCTCCACCTCTATCGCTGGTCTGCGGAGCGCTCAACCCACTGATCAGTGAGGTTTGCTTGTGTAACGGACAGGTTATCGTACAAGTAACAAGGGCACCTTGTTGTGGTCCAGAAATGGCAACGATCAGGAACATACACCAGTGGGATTTCGAAGTGACAGAAGTCTTGCCAAGCATTTTTGCTAGAACTGCTGAGCTCGTAGTGCATTCAGGAAACGAAACTGAGGTCAGATTTGTCAGCAGATCGACCACCAGGCGACGGGACATTAAAATTGGCCAACGCACGGGCTGCCCGTGCGAAGATGCGTTTTTTGCATGGTTCCCCGTAGTTT